TATGTGCATTTAAAATCGGGATAGGTATTGCAAAGTGCCCTCCAAAGCTGTTGCCCCGATTTAGACTCCCACCAGCAGTGAATGTTCTTCCCGCATCAGTATCATCAAACTTTATATTCTTTGCCAATCTAATGAGCGTGAAATGGAATTCTGTTGTGTTATTTTGCGTTTGTTTGATTATAGGTGATGTTCAACAGTTTTCATATGTTACATTTATTTTCCTGTTGTATTGGTCAGCCCGGGTTGCTATGACAAAATACCACTGACCAGGGGGCTTAAATACCAGGCATTTCTTTGTCACAGTTCTAGAGGCTGAGAAATCCAGGATCAAGATTTGGTAGCCCACGAAGTCTCTCTTTCAGGCTTGCAGGCTTGCGGACACTATGTCCTCGTGTGGTGGAGAGAGAGAGAGAGATTCCTGATCTTTCTTCCTCTTCTCATAAGGACATGAATCCTATCATGGGGTCTCACCCACATGACATCATCTAAACCCAAGGAACTCCCGAGGCCCACCCCCCTCCAAATACCATCACATTGGGGGGCAGGGCTTCACCATTTGAATTTTGAGAGGGACACAAACATTCAGTCTGTGATGACCATAAACTACCCGTTCATGCCCTTTGTCCCTATTTCCATCAGGTTTTTGGACTGATTGGTTAGAAATCTTTGTAAGTGAGGAAAAACAGCAGTTTAGGGTGCATTTTAGAAGTGCCTCAGGTTTTCTGCTTCAGTTTAAAAAAAAAGATTTTATTTATTTAACAGAGAGAGCATAAGCAGGGGGAGCGGCAGGTAGAGGGAGAGGAAGAAGCAGGCTCCCCCCTAAACAGAGAGTTCAACATGGGGATCAATCCCAGAACCCTGGGATCATGACCCGAGCTGAAGGCAGACACTTAACCATCTGAGCCACCCAGACATCTCTCTCTGCTTCAGTCTTAACATGACATGTGTGTACTGGGGAAGGAGCAATGTGCTGGCAGGTTACAAGGCTTTAAGGTTCTATTCTTTCTCTGGTTTTGTCCAATCATGATTTAGTCCTTGGTTTTGATGCTTGTCACTAACAGGTCCTGTTAGTTAATCATGATTTGGGGAATATTGTATCTCAGGACACTTGAAAGTTTTCCCATCCTGCCTCCCAGAAAACTCCTTGACTGTCAGAAAACAAGGAGGAAGGTGGTCACCAGGAGGGCTGGAGAGGAGCAGGCTGAGGCTGGGGGTCTGATGCAGCTGGGAGAGCCATATCCAAAGCTCCCCTCCCTTTATTTTTTCTTCCTTTTTTTCTCTTTCTTTGCACTTCCCCTCCCTCCCTTCCTTCCTTTCCCCCCCCCCACCCCCCGTGTCTTTTTTCTTTGTTTCTGGCTGTGTACTATAAAAATACAATTTTGGAGCATGTGGTTGGATTCCTACCATGGGGACTGAGATGGAATTTCAAGTCACTCACCATAATTCAACTATAAATTAGAGAATTCTTATGAATAGAATAGGATGGAATGTGGTTTCATGTTTTCTTCCCCCAGGGACCCTGCCCAATTTGGCAATGGGAAGCTAAATTAAGGGTGGGATTAGTTCTAGGAAGTGGAGTTTTAGTGTAGCTGCATGTCTCATGCAAATGTTAGCCACAGTGCCTTCCCTCTCTATATTCATGAGAAATCCGGAGGGCCAGGGTACCTGAAATCCCCAGATGTGCCAGACACGTACTACTGCCTTTGTTTGTTTACTTATCCTTCTAGAACTATCAAAGGGGATTAATTTCGACTCATTTTACCCTTCGATTTTCCACCAAAAGCAGGCAGGGAGGCAACATGCCACAGGGGAAAAGAAAAAAGAACCCAGGAATAGGAATGAGCAGGCTTCAGGGTCAGCCCTGCCTGTGCCCCTTACCAGCCTGTGCCTGGGCAGTCATGCAGCCTCTGGAGGCCCCAGTTCTTCTCCGGAGAAGGGACAAAATGACACCAACCTCTCAGGGTGGCTGAGGCACCCTGTAAAGCATACCATGGAGCTAATGGTGCCTATGCCAGATAGCGGTCCCTATATGAGGCGTCTGCACAATTCCAGACTCAGAGAAGGTGCTCAGCAGATGCCTGTCCACTTTTCTTCCTTGTCCTGAAAGTCCTAAGCACTGCATTAGCGTCCTTGGGCTGTTGTCACAAATTACCACAAACTCGATGGCTTAAAACAACGGAAATTTCTTCCTCACAGTCCTGGAGGCTGGAAGTTCAATATCAAGGTGTTGCTAGGGCCATACTCCTTCCAGTTACTAGGGGGACATCCTCCTGGCTTCTTCCAGCTCGTGGTGGCTCCCTGTGTTGCGGCTCATGGCTGTTATCTCTCCGGTCGGCCTCGGTGGTCACACGGCCCTTTGCTCTCTGTATTTTCTCTTCTGTGTCTTATAAGGACACCTGTCATTGGGTTTAGGGCCCGCTTGGAAAATCCGGGATGTTCTCATCTCAAGATCCTTAATGACACAGAGAATGACCCTTTTTCCAAACGAGGTCATATTCACAAGTTCTGCAGATTAGGGCACGGGACATATCTTTTTGGGAGGGCCACCATTCAACTCACTATACACACTTTAGGGATTGCTTTCTAGATCAAGACTGTGGCCTGATGAAGCACATTTTTTTGCAGTCACCTCAGCGAATCCATGAGCCGTCTGATATTTAAAAATCAGGACATGTAAGAGAGGGGAAGAAGGAACAAAAGCTTGTTTTTGTTTTGTTTTGTTTGTATTTATAAACAGGCAAAAAGTCTTCTTTCCCGGATCCCCCATTTAGTAGTGATGCGTTGAATGTGCTCACCGTTCACACGCCCACCCACCCTGCGACTGCTCACATACCGGTGTTAGGGAATCACAGTCCTCCTGTCACAGAGCCTTCTCTCTTGCCCTTGCTCTGACCCCATCTCCCGCTGGCTCCAGCCCACGGTACCTCCAGCCTTTGGCCTTGGCTCTCTGAACATGGCTCCCAAAGGCTGGCTGTCTGACATCCAGCTCTGGGCTTAACCCTCTGGTTAGATGCTCATTTGCTCCCTGGGTTCCCTCAGCTCTGTCTCGTCCTGCCTTAGTTGCTCCCTGAACCTTCAGGAACTCCAGCTACAGAGGTCATCCACAGACCACTCCGCACTGGAATGTAGTCAAAGGCAAATGGCCTCAATTAAACAAGCCCCATGGCTTCAGGGGGACTGACTGCCTGGGGGCAAGGACTCTAACCAAGGCCTGAGCCCTCCCTTGTAGTGACTACAGTCCCTGCTACAGCGGGGATCACCGCTTCCTGAGCACTTACCTCAGGCGCATCAGGTGGGTTTCCTCATCACGTCCTTACATCTCCCCTCCGAGGTAATCTTAGCTCCACCTCTCATCTCCATGTGGTGTGAAGGCGCTCTGCCTTCTTGGATTTGTTCCACACAAAGGGGAGGACGACCCCTGGACCGTCTCATGGCTCAGTGGTACTGTGGAGACAGAGGACTCCACCTTGAAAAGTCTTTGAGCTTTGAGCTTTGGGCCAAAAAATGCTGTCAGAAACCAAGATCTAAAGAGAAAAAAAAAAAAAAGGCCAAGTTAATCATGGCTTTTTGTACCTCAGATGGAAGGGTGAGGCTCTCTGAAAAACTCACGTTCCAAGGAAAGTCATAGTGTTGGTCAGTGTCCCACAGGTAAGAAGGACATTCCAGGCGAAGGATCCAGAAACACAAGGGCAGCTGTCTGCTGCGGGAGAGCCGGGAGTGCTGGAGCTGTGGGACTGGGAGTTGGGGAGACTTGACTCTAAGCCCAGCTGCAGCAGCATGACTGGGGCAGGTCACACGGCTCTGAGCCTCAGTTGGCAAAGCTCACCTCTGAGAGGTGAGCCTAGTAGACACCAGGGCCACGGTGAAGCCCATGGTGAAGCCCGGAGATTACACCTGTTACCTGGTACTGAATGCACACCGGACTATCATAGCTATTACTGGGACTCCTCCTCTGAGGCCTTCTTGATCTCTCTCCCCTTCCCACCTCACCCAACCCTGGGCAGCCAGTCCCCCGGGGAGGCTCCCCAGTCTTGTGCTAGCTGCATAGAGCTCTTCTGCTGGGTCCAGGCCATTTGTGTGGATCTGGGATGCTTTTCTCCTGGTCCTCAGGGCCTAGCTCCACGCAGGGGGATAGCTGGTGCTCAGAGCGTGTCCGCATAATGAAGGGACACTGTGTCCCCACACTGAGCACCACGTCTGGCATAGCTATTCTCTGTAAAATGATTGGTGAAGTGAACAGGAGTTTAGAATCACCCTCCAGGTTAGAACTTTAAAACTTTCTGACATGTCTCACTTCTTCTGATTTACCATGGGAGCAGGAAAATCATTATGGTTACTAACAAATATTTGGTGCCAGGCTCCCTGCTCTGCACATGGGTGACCCGAGTTAAATTCCTTATGTCCCCGTGAGGTAGGTACCATCCTTCCTTAGAACACAGCTCCGCTCAGAGAGATTCAGAAACTTCCTAGTCACACGGGTAAGAAGTGGTGGCAGGGAGGCGACCTGAGGGCAGGGCCTCTAAACTGCAGAGTCCCGTCGTCTTTACTGCATGGAGACTGGGCCACGGGGCCTCCCCAGCAGCTTAAAAGGAAGTCCAGTCCCTCTGGCCTGCACCCCAGGACCAAAGTTGGAGGTTAAGGGGGACTCCCGAGGGGTAAGCCTCAGTAAGAGCTCAGGGCACCACACTGAGCTCTCCAAGGCCATGACAGCGGAAGCGAGGACCGAATTAGGACGTTTGTGAGCCTTAGGCTCTTAGGCTTTTCTTATCTTTGTGTGGCCCTTCCCCCGTTAAAAAAGTTAAAGTTCTATTTTATGAGTGCGTTGGTATAAAGACGAATATCACCCAGGCTGGATTATATTCATTTCGTTCTTCTGATTTTTAAAAACCGGCCCAGTGCCTACTAGTGTCTAACGGATGGGGCTTTCGGGTTATCCAGAGCCTCTGCGGGTGAAGCAGGAGCGGGTGTTCGGGTCCCCTAACCGGCCTCTGTCTCTGCAGGTCCCGCAGCGGATGGCGGCGGCCCAGGGCGTCCCCGAGGACGGCGGCGGCGGCGCCCCGGGCGTGTGGGGCGCCTGGGGGCCCTGGTCCGCCTGCTCGCGTAGCTGCAGCGGCGGCGTGATGGAGCAGACGCGGCCCTGCCTGCCCGGCTCGTACCGCGCGCGCGGGGCCCTGCGGCCCGGAGCGCCCCCGCGCGCCTTCGCGGGCCACGTGGTGTCCGCAGTGCGCACGTCGGTGCCGCTGCACCGGAGCCGCGACCGCGAGGAGCCGCGCGCCCCCGCCGGCCCCGACGCCAGCCGCCAGGGCCCGGGGCAGCGGGGCAGCCGGCACCCGCAGGCGCGGGGCCGCGACCCCACGGCGGAGAGCAGGTACGCGCGCGCGCCCTCCCCCGCCCCCGCCCCCGCCCTCGCCCCCGCCCTCGCCCTCGCCCTCGCCCTCGCCCTCGCCCTCGCCCTCGCCCTCCCCGACGTGCCGTGGGCGGCTCTGCGCCCCTGCGGGCGCGGTGAATGCGTGGCTTCTGCCGGCTGGGGAGGAATTCTTGGCTCTGCGTATTTCCTTTCATCTTTTGATTTATTTTGCAGCCCTTTAAAGCGTTGAGGCCACTCCCACCCCACTCTGTGGTTCTGAATAGTCTTCAAAGTGAAGCTAATTCTGAGAAGGCCTTTCCGCATCAACCTTAGGGAGGCCCCATGGAGGGGTGAAAGAAGGCGGGCCCTGGGGAGCCCGCCGGAGCCAGTGCGCGCTGGGAGCAGGGGGCAAGGGAGGTCCGTGGCCGCCGGCCGGGTGGATGTGACGAGTTTCGAATCCTTGGACAAATTGAACGTCTGGAGTCACACGTGCTCCCAGTTGGTTTCAGGAATCTATGCACTTTTCTAGAAAGTTTCTCCAGAGAATTTTGAGTGAATACGCTGCTGTGAGGCTATGTCTAATTAAGGACCTAGACTTTTTTTAGAGTCTGCGTCGAGTCTGTTGGCATGGTAGCATTAAAACGGTTGTGTAGCTCGAGAACGCCTCCCATGGCTAGGCCCGCACCAATATGCCCAACTGGGCGGTTACCCATGGGAAAGGTAGCAAGGTCAGTGAATTAATCAGCCAATATTTACAGGTGACTCAGCATTCATTCACAAGTATTTGTTGAGTGCTCCTAGGTCCACGATAGATTCCGAGAGCTTATTAATACAAAAGCAGCAACAACAATAAACGAACATTTACCGAGAGAACGGGAAGTGTGAGATACGCTCCCTGTGCTTCAGAAATGTATACTTTAGTCATCAAGCCAAGTTAGTGTCCATCCCGGGCAGGGCGGGTGGGATGAGCTGTCAGGTGGGCTGCCCAGCCCCTCCTGTCACTTGCAGTTCAGACATGAGCCTCGATGACCACCCTTTCCCCCTGTGGCTAGATGCTTCAGGAGGGTCCCTGTCAGCCTAGTGCAGTAGGCTATCAGTGCCAGCCACCCGGAGGTGTAGAGGAAATGCAACCCAGCCACCCTCCCCAGCCACATGTTCTTGACATGGTCAGTAGGGTTTAGAGAGGACCATTTCACAGGGAAGGTGCATTAGCCGAATTCTGAAGGATAAATCGAATTTGGGTGGATAGAAGAAGGGAAGAGCTGTGAGTTCTGAGGCCTGGCAGGGCCTGGCAGGGGGAGGGAAAAGAGACATCCGCTAGGAGGGTGCTTCCTTCCTTTTATCCGGCCACAACCCCATAAGAGGATAGCTCTCCATTCCCTTACCTGAAATCCTTATGGCCAATGCATTTCAGAATCCAGAACTTCTCAGATTTTTTAAAGGTAATTCAGGGCATATTTCACATATTAATGGCATTTCTTCTGTGGTATGGGGCAGCGTCCCATAATTGACTGCCTTATTGCTTCTGCAGTGAAACTTTTGAAAGTTCGTATTAAGTAGGATAACAAAAGATCCCAATAGTCTTGTGTCCCTTAAGCTCAGGTGTGCCGCCCGGGGAATTTTGATACCAAACCAACAAAAACGAGAAAAGGAAAGACAAAAGCTTCATTTTCAAAACTCTTGGTTTGAGATTTGCAGGTTTATAATAGTTCAGATCTGTTGAATGCCTCTTCTATACCAGGCACTGTTCTTGTCTCTTGACACTGACAGCTCTATGAAATAGTGCTAATATCATCCTCATTTTAGAGGTGAGGAAAAGGAGGCCCAAGAAGTGGAGAAACTTGCCCAGAGCAACACAGCCAGTGTGTAAAGAGCTGGGATTCAAACCTAGGCAGTCATGGTGCTAAGGACCCAATCAAGTAGCAGTTACACACGAGGAATCTGAGGACCTACGAGGTGAAAGGGCTTCCAGAGCCCCAGAGCCGTGGAAAAGCTAAGAGTTGAAGGTGCTCTGGCTCCCAGATCCCTGGAGTGCTCAGAGCCTTCTCTTAGAGCTGCTGTGGTTGAGAATCTAGAAGAGCTGCCCAGGGAACAGGCCCTAGTTGGCTGCAGGCCTGTAACTGCAGGCATTCTGGCCCATGTGTTTTGGCAGCAGGAAATTTTTTTCTCCTAACGTATTGACAGGGGGCCAGTTACTGTTTACTATGAAGTTCCTACAAGTTTTTATCATGCTCTTGTAATTTGACAGTTTCAGATGGAACAATCCAAATATTAGGCTGGGAGGCCTGCGCTGCCGACAACTGTCACGCTCTTCCCGGCTGACGAAAATCACATTTGCTTATATTTATCAGTCATTAGGAACTTGCATAGTATATGTGACCCCAGAAGAAATGTCAGTGTGTTTGCTGGATGGCTGTCTGCCTCACTTTCTGCTTCAGGTTTGAGGTTTGAGGCAAAGGCTGTTAAGGCTTAGATGTTTAAGAAACTGTTAGGCTGTTACGCTAGGCAACCGAAAACTTAATTGGAGCCAGATAACAAATAAAACAGAACTATTCAACCTTCCAGCAAATATTTATTAAGTATTTACTATGTTGTAAGGTCCTGGGACAGACACAAAGGTGAATAAAAGCCAGGTTGGGGGCTGAAAGCTCTTACTGACAGGCTAGACCAGCTGTTTGCAAACTCACTTTTTTTCTTTTAGCATAAGAGGCCTTTCTGTAAAATCAGTGTCAGATTGGGGCTCAGTTTGTCACAGAGGGCATGCAAATGTTTGACCAGTGATTTTCAACCTTGGCCGACCGACCGTTGGAATCTTCTGTCCACCTTTGAGAAATCTCAACACGCCGGTCGTATCCCAGACCAACATCTGAATGTCTAGGGGTTGCAGTCCAGCCGAGGTTGGGAACCACAGGTTTGGAAGTATCTCTTTGGAACCTTAGAGTTCTATGGGAAAAAAACTTGGAAATTGAATATTGTCTAGCCAAATTTTCCAGGCTCGGAGAGCACATGCCAGAATCACTTGCAGTGGGCTGGGGAGATTTGTTCAAAGTGGCGCTGCCCTGGCCCCACCATCTCCCCTGCCTAATGGGGATTCTGTTTTGTAGGTTTGGGGTGTGCCCTAGGTAGCTTCATATTAGGTGATTCTGACATACTCCAGAATTGGAGAAACCACTGATCTAGAAGGTTAGAAAAGGCACGTGTGTAAATGCCTTCCCTAAAAGACAGTGTGATGAAATAGTAACAGTAATGATGCTGGCTATCATTTTGGATCATGGCTTATGTGCAGGCACTACATCAAATGCATTGTAACACTCACAGTTCATACAACCCGGTAAGGCAGGTGCATATATTCACATTTTATAGATGAGGAAACCGAGGCTGGGAGGAATGGAGTGACTTGCTCAAAATTGCAAAAAGTGATGCCGCTCACTTTCAGCAGGTGTGGTCAGAGAAGCTGCTGCCCACGTCTTGAAAGGTGGACGGGATTTGGGAGTCAAGGCTTAAAATGAACTGCATCTCTTCCTTGCAGGGTTCAGCTCTCATAGCAAGGGAAATCTTTGCAGCAGGGAGGTTCAAAAAGTTTGGCAAATGCAGTCCCTGGCCTTGGGGGCCTGACACTGTGATGGTGGATGAGTGGCGTTACCCACAAAATGCTGCACATGCTGGAAAGCTGTAGAGATAGGGCTGGGGTTTGGAACATGGGGAATCCTTGAGGGTTGGAGCAGTCAGGGCGGACCGCACAGAGCAGGTAGGATTTGAACCCAACCTTGAAAAATAAGTAAAATGCACTTAGCTGGAATATATTTAGGAATTTCTTGAGTCTACTTTCTTCCATATCAGAGCTTTGTGTCATTAAAACATACACATACACACTGCAAATCACACTCTAAAAAGCCTTAGAAATCATGTCAGTATTGGGGCGCCTGGGTGGCTCAGTTGGTTAAGTGCCCGACTCTTGGTTTTGGCTCAGGTCATGATCTCAGGGTCGTGAGATCGTCTGCTTGAGATTCTTTCACCTTCCATCTCCCTCCCTCTCTGCTCCTCCCCCCACTCATGTTCTCTCTCTCTCTCTCTCAAACACAATTTTTAAAAAAGATTTTATTTATTTATTTGAGAGAGAGTGGACGGGTGAGAGAGAGAAAGCAGGAGTGGGGGGTAGGGGCTGAGGGAGAGGGAGAAGCAGGCTCCCCACTGAGCAGGGATCCCGACTTGGGGCTCCATCCCAGGACCCCAGGATCATGACCTGAGCCCAAGCCAGATGCTTAACTGACTGAGCCACCCAGGTGCCCCAATAAATAAAATCTTGAAAAAAAGAAATCATGTCCATATTTATTAGTGGTTCCCCAAGGATCTGAGCTTACTAGTTAATTTTTCTGAGCCTCAGGGGCTTCATCTTTCAAATGCAAGTAATAACAATGCCCAGCACATGGGATTGTTGAGTGATTAAAAGAAATGATGTGATCACATTTCCTGGCCTGTAGTAGGTGCTCAGGAAATTGTAGCTATACCTCCCTGTAGGGCTTTAAAGGCTGGGTGTTCATGTGTTAGAGTTCCAGTTAGAAGTCTGGTTCCTCAGCAAGGATCAGGTGGAGAGCTGGGGCCACAGAGGAAGACAGGGAGCCAGGAACTGAGGTCTAGTTCAGGAGGGTAGGACTCTGGGCAGCCCAGCCCGGGTGCAGCCAGGATCCCAGGGCCAGGGCACCCTGCCCTGTGCCCTGTTTTGGCATGACCTGCTTGGAAAAACAAAGGGTGGCCTCCCCCTGGGATTTAGTCAGAGCACTGGCACCTGCGGAGGCCCTGGACTGGGTGAGTTTAGCCTGCGGGTCTTGGCCAACAGGTTCCCCAAGGCCTCCCTCTCTCCATGCCCAAGGCCACGTCCTGGAGATGGCTGAAGGCGGGGTGCGGGGGAGAGGGTACTCGGTGAGCCCGGCCGTCTGTGCCACAGTGCAGCCACTCACCCTCCTCAGGAGGAGCCTTTCCCCCCGCCCCAGTTTCTGGAAATGGGTGCCTGCAGGCTGCAG